GCTGCTGTTACACAGCACAAAACGCATAAAAATACAAAAGTAAAAAAAAAGTCATCTTTCGATGACATTCCAGCTGAACGTCGACAATCGACGTTCCCATCGGAGATTGGATTTCCGAGAGAGATCCGATTCTCCGTTCCCAGTCCATTTTTCCCCCGCCAACTTCCCTATCGTAGGCTGAATCTACGGCGATAAAATTCATCTCTGGTCCCCATGGCATCCATTCTAGAATTCTGGATGGAAGCCGTTTTGATGGTACTAATGCGTGATATCTATTACAGGAACATCAGTGCACAAGTCAGGCGTTTCGATGAATCGTGGTCTGTGTGTATCTTCAGTATCATTCTTCCACGTCTACCGCCTGAGTGCTTTTCACAACAGAATTATTCATACCAATGCTGGTGATTCGTTGATTATCCATTCTGTTTCGTGTCAGTGTCTCATACAATGAAACTACCTTTTATCTTTGGCTCAGCCTAGCACTCACGCTGGTTCCTTCGATCCATTGACATTTTCATGCGCGGTACCAGAAGTAACATACAGTTTAACTGACAAATACCGATAAAAAAGTTTTAAAACATTGCTGTTATTAAAGAAATGAGAAAACGGTGGCATTTAAATTTCTTTTTTTTTTTTTTTTTAAATTGTACAGCAAAAAAAAAAAAATACAAAAGCGTTGGTCTACTAACCCAGTGATACAAACGAGTCCGCAACTGATGGAAAAGTTGCTGGCCGTATAGATGGAAGTCCAGGCTACGAGTTAAAAGCTGTCCCAAGTAATCCAAGTATATCTGTTGTTACATATTTTGCAAATTTTTTTGCGAGCAATTTAACCTATATCGACAGATTCAAATGGGCTTCTAGCTAAACGAATTGAGACTGCCCACCATGTTGTCATAAATTATCGAGAAAATTTTCGGCAATCTAGTTGCCTTGGTTGTGGAGCTACGTCAAATTCCACGTGTTCGTACGTGAAAAGGAACTTCGGGTTATACATAGGCAAGGAATATCTTCGTAAAGTTACAGCCTCCTACCCTGTCTGGCTCCCGAGTTAATGGTTTTCACGCCAAAACTTCACTCGTCTGTATTTGATACTGGGGATGGACCGTTACAAATGAATATCTGCAGTGTTGGGCGAGTCACCTAGCGTACCTTCAGAGAGATGGAAGGGTTTATACGAATGGCTACGAGGAACTGCTTAGCTGCAATATGCGTAAAATATGAAAAAATGAAGTTTCGCCTGTATCAAAAGCCAGAAAAAAAGCTACAACGAAATAAAAGCAGTTCAGACTAAGCAAAAAAATTTGAAACAACGAAATAATTCTGAAGAGCATGAAGTAATTTTCGTTAAAAAACCCCTTACCCCAACGTCGGCTTCCCGATTTTATTAAACGATAGTTCTGGGAAATGCAGTTCCAAACGTGAAGCGCTGAGCAGAACTGAATACAGCCACGGATTGTATAAATCCGAAGAGGTAATATTTTCGATCTTCATAAGCTGATTCTCGTCCTCCTCTTCAACAGCTGGAAATTCAGAAATTTGTACTGGAGGAATTAAACAAAAAAAAGAAGTGTTTATATTGCGATCCTATTTAATTTAAAAAATATCTACAAGTATATATACATACACATACGTACATACACACATACATAATACATACATACATACACACACATACACATACACACATACACAATACATGCACACACATATACATACACACATACAAACACACACGAACACATACACACACATAAATTCTTACTTCTCCACTGAAATTCCGGAGCGCCATCCCAATTAATTGGTAGCTTCGAGAAATGCTCGTCACGATATTTGTCGATCGGTGATAGCGGTGCTGGTTCCAGCATGTCATCTTGTACTGGCTCAGTATCAGCTTTCTTCTTTTCCTCTGCAAAAATAGCACAAGATATTTTGTTACATAGCAAAATCCTTTGGCTGCACTTGATTTGGGGACTGTACTGATGATCTCCACTCCTAACCACACCTCGCACCGTCTTTGTTTACAGCTTAGGGATGAAACACAGACAGATTACCCTACCTACTTCAGGGTACATGACTACTTTAGATGTCAAAAGGTTTTCACCATATTATCTTTACAACTTTCTTACCCATTACCATTCAATAAATTCCATCCTTTCAGCGTTAAATCACAAGATATTCAGCCATGTTGGGTTTCCTTCGATTAGCATGGTCCACTGCTTCACAAGGTAAGTTTCGGCCTATTTACGGCTGCATAACACCACTTCACAGCAGCTCCGACCTTCTTGTCAACCCTGCCCGGCATGACCAATTTTGGCTGGGCTTCTACCGTCTTTCCTTTTTATTCCGTTACATAACCTAGTTCCTCGCATCATGTGATAGTAAAATTATCTGAGTACTGCTTTGCACCAGTTACAGGCAAATTCAGAAAAATCTCAAACAGACGAAATTCTGAACTGTTTGGAATTCACAACCAATGCCAAATTATCTGTGCATATTTGAATTTCTGCATTTCTCGAGTACGAGGTGTCACTGTTCAAGGCGAGTTTGATTATTCAAAGAGGAAAATGCTGAACAATAAATAGATACACATATTTTCTCCTTTCACATAGGCTTATGCACACCTTTCACTGAAAAAGAAAAAAAAACCACACCTTCTTTAGGGGCAACTTCTTTGACTGGTGGCGCAACTTCTTTGACTGGTGGCGCAACTTCTTTAGCTGGTGGCGCAGCTTTATTGTCTGCTGGTGTAACGTTCTCCTCGACCAGAACAACATCATCATCGTCGTCGGCATATTCATCCAAATTCTCTTTTACCGGCGACGGAGCTTTTGCCTCTGGTTTCTTCGGTTCCTTTTGTGTTCCCTTAGAGCCCGCTTTCTTCTCCGCGCCAATGGATTTCGCAGCATCTACTGGACTCTCGGTTCTCTTTTCCTCATTTACCTCCTTTACCTACAAAAGATTCTGTTATGATGAAGAAGAAAGGTGTCAAAATAACAGTATTACAATAAAAGCTAGGGAAGATGCTCACCTGCGAGCCAGCGCCATCCTCAGCCCATTCATCAGTCACTTCGAGGACCTCATCGTTGCTAGCCAGGATATCACGAGGAATCTCGGTTATCGATGCAATTGTTGTTGGAAACTCCAATTTCGTCTTCTGTGCAATGACGCGGTGACGGTGCACGCGCGATCGAAACGAAACCAGGCATTTGCAGCCATATCCCTGAAACGCCTATGCTCAAGTGTCAAGATTATTTAAGTGCAATCTTCCTCCTAAAGAAAATACGGCGTGAAAACCAAGTCGTTGTTGCGCAAAACCCATGAAAAGCCGGCCAGGAAGCCGCCACAAAGAAAAGGAAAAGAAAGGTACACCTCGCCTTGAAAGGCAAATACGCCATAAAGTCAAAACTTCTTCAGTAGAAACAGCCAGGATTGCACATACACGCATGCACAAAGACGTACACGCACACACACACACACACACAACGCACATCCATATACAATGGCCTACTCTTGTAGAGTTTTTGAATTATCCAAAAACACATGAAAAGTACCTTATCATCCGGTTCCAGTTGCGGCGCTCTTATGACGTGATCGACGGCATCTCGTGTAACGCTGAATGTTGTTTCCAGCAGCTCATAGACGGTCTCCGCGAAATCTTCCGGGTTATCCTTGAAAAATCCCGATGGCAAGCCAGATATGACAACACTACGCGTGACGTCGATACTGTTGGCCATCAAGCACAGTGATCACCCAATATCCTCAAAAGAATTCATCATTATTCAACAAAACTCATCATCGCGAATATCACCCCAAAACTTTACATATTTCCAATTTTTATCACCACCTGATAGCCACTTTTTGGCGCCAAACTCACTACTTTCTCGGTTTTTCAAGCTAATTCTAGCTTACTTGATACCCGAAAAATTTTTTCCACCCATTATGGGCCAAATTTTGGCGTCAAAATCATTAACTCCTCGATTTTCCAAGTCAAATATCTCTCAGCAACTCAATTTTGGTCTATTCATAATATCCTAGATCTCTACTTGTTGAAAATTGCACAGTTACCGTCACAAATCGAAAATCTCGTTGGCAGAGTCAGCCACTACCGATCAAACCCACTTTTCACCTTGGAAAAGAAACTACAACTGCGTGATCTTCCTTTCTGACCTTCCTTTCTTCCATCGAAACGGGTTTGGATAACCTTGCTTTTTCTCTCCCTCTTTCTCTCGCCCTCTACAAAAAATCATCAACAAAAAGTATCAAAATCGTCGATAACGACGGCACAGGAAGAAAAAACGCATTAACAATTGTTCGATAATTTTGTTCAACAGGTGTACCATTAAAATTACTCGTGAATTAACAATTTAGCAACACAGATCCAGAGAAAAAAGACCAAGCAACACAGCAAAATAGGAAAAAAAATGAAGGTCAACAACGGTCACCAGGAATTACTGTGGCCACAGCATCACAGCAGTTCTGTTTTGTTTTCCTCGATTTTCCAAGTCAAATATAATTATAATAAACTCTCAAACTTCCCAATTTTCTAGTACAAATTGTTTTCTAGTACTTAAGTTTCTCGTCTCTCACAGACAAATAAACAACAACACCTTTCGGATCTGAAGAATGCATTATAAAAAAAGCTACAACGACAGCGTAAAAAGCCACTGGGCCACTGCAGTGATGAAGCCTACGTTAGACTGGTTTATATGACACAGCATTTTTTGCCATTATAATAAATCTTTGAATTTTCTAATTTTCATTTCTCACCTCCCTTTTCCTTTTTTATTTCATTCCTTCTTATCATAACTTTCTATTATACGAAATTGCATACTACAATGATGCGTCTGAAGGAAATTTACCGCCATTTACAGTGCAACGTGAACCCGAGAGCCAAACACAGGGCATAGAAATACCAAACCGAATAAGATTATTTGTAAAACAACAAGAAAATATCTCCCACCCCCTCCGCTTTTTCTTTTTTTGTTTCAAATATATATATTCAAATTCTGGTATTCCCTCCTCCCCAAAAAGACGGCGGACATACAACCAGAAGTCGATGGGTGCTAGCTGGAAGTCGGCAGCTAAGGATCGAAGGACCAAGTACAGGTGTGCAACAGTAACATCACTAGCATGAGATAACCACAATGATGTTCAGTGGGAAGCTGCAGTTTAGTATATCCAAATTATGTTATACGTTTGCCTCGATCTTCTTTGAATTTAGCTATTTTTTAGACACAACACACACACACGCATCAAGAAAATCTCGGGAATAACTAAATTCGTGTCGGGAATGGTTTTTTTTTTGCTTTTTTTGAAAGGGCCGTAATACTGCTGGCATTCCCTAGAGAAGAAACAAACAACAGGATTGCGAGCAGCAAACTGACTATCAGGTGAGGCAACAATAGCCAAAGCGACCGAAGAATAATTTTTCAGAGTTACATAATTGGAAAAGTAGACTATGAATTACAGCTGATCCAAATAAAAACATTCAAACAAATCTTGGAAAAATTTACCCGATAGCATGAAGGGCGGAAGGAGAGGGGGAGGGGCAATCCATGAGTAAAACAGCACCCCGGGCGTACGTCAAAACATAAACGAAAAGTGTTTTCAGAAATTTTAAAGATACAGACAACGAATATCCCTGACTAGGAGATTGGAAGAGGAAGGGGAACTGAAATCTTCTATGTGTTAACATATGCAGTTTGTTTGGCATTTTTGGCCCACCAGCGTGGAGAGGAACACAATCGAATTTTGATAATTAATGAAAACACTGCAAAATCCTCCATTTAGAAAATTACAATCTCAGATCTATTGCTTTTCTATAAATAAGCAGCTGAGGCTAGAGCAGAATATTGCGGCTTTTCATTTAAAAAAAAAAATTAGCATAAGTGGCTTTCCTAGACCACTGCTATTTGTCCGGTTTAGTAGGCTTTAGTTTTTCAAGTTCTTCGCGTCTAATTTCTTCTCGTAATAGCTTCAGTTCGCTTTCGTTCAGCGCCCCCTTTCGCAGCAACTGTTCCGAGACTGATCCTATTTTTTCTGCAAAAAATTCTGTTAAAAAAAAAAAGTTTTAACAAATTTATTCCACTTTTCCTTTCTGATTCCGGCCGCCCCACGTTTTTATTTCTTTGGATCGTTCCACGTTTATTTCCCTACTGATTATTATTATTATTTCTCAAACAGAATTAGAAAACCCTTAACATCTGAGCTCATCATACAACCGTTCCAAGAAAATTAGAAAAAAGCGATACCTGATGAATCCGCCAATTCTTCAAAGCAGCGTTCTTCT